TATCTTCACTGGCGTTTTTTGGATCATCAGGAATCTTTTGAGGACGAAGTAACTGACAGTGATGACTGTGAGACTAATAAGTTGGCTAACCCTGAATCCAGTGAATCAGCAGCTGAAAGCATTGTCACCGTAGTATCTCAGTCTAGGTCACACGTCGCCATTGTCGAGGACCTAGATACAATTGAGCCGGACAATCGGGTAACCAAAACCAAGAGCCAACGACTCCGTGCCAATTAACCCGGGAGACATTTTCACAGAGCCTCTCCTGGTCCCTCAAATTCAGCAGGTAGGTGAAATCCAGAAAACTGCGGCTATTGATGTTCGACAAACTATAAAAAAAAGAGTATGGGACGCATATATAACCCGACAAGTGGACCAGTATCTAAAGAAGAAAGCGCCTATGACTCGTAATGTGGCTACACAGACAGTCGAAACGCGTAATTTACCATACACTCCGACTGGATGCATCAAGTGTAAGCAGGTTAGTCACTTATTTAAGGACTGCACTAATAATGCTTTTGGTGAAGAATACTGTACTAATTGTTGGAGGTTGGGTCATCGAGATAACAACTGCATCATCAAAGATCGCAAGACGGTCGAATGGATGAGAGATCACTGTTTTGCGTGCAAAGCCCCTCATCCCATGTACAATCCCAAATGTGGACGTTGCTTGGCTCGGGTGGGATTAGTCAAGAGTAACCTCGGCAGTGCCCTGTTCCTGAAGTAACCCAACGTCACCATCGAGAACCGCGGTTGATCTGCGAGAGAACCCTGCCATTAACTTACTTAAAAGTGTTTATTTTGCTTTCTTTGATTAATATTATTTTTTCTTGTGTGTTTCTTTATATTCTTTAATTTTTAATACCTCATATTTCATATTATTGTATACCTCAATATCATGTTAAGTTTTAACATTGAGAAAAAGACACCAATGATAGGTTCAATATGGTGTGATTCACATAACGTGTTATATACCATGAAGTCTAAGAAGATTAACTTCTGTTTATCTAGTTAGATTAGTCAAAGTTTATCAGAGATCAACTACTCAATTATATTCCTTTATTATTTTGTTTACGTTAATTAAATTCTTTGAGACATGTTACCAAACTTGTTGTTAACCAAAAATAATGTATTTTGCGCTAGAGTACATAGTACCTTAAAAATATTTGTCTCATTAAATGATACTTATTGATAGAGTTAATAAATAAGACTTCAACAAGTTTGTACCGGTAACAATAAAGTCTTAGTACAGTAAATTGAACAGCAAGAATTTAACTGAGTAAACTCTTGTAGATTTAAGCAGCTCAAAGTTTGTTTCAGGTGCAATGATCCATCGAGTCCAGGTTGTTTGGAGACGCCTACAACTTAAAGTGTAGCTTCCTCAAGCCGGGGGGACTATAACGTGACCGTTTACCTTGTTCTGGTTAAACTAATAAATCACCTACGTATCGCAAGTGTCGATAAAAATGTTTGCGATTTAAATTGGGTATTTGCATGATTTTGGTATTCATTAACTTTTGATATTTTTACATTCTATATAATTTTTTGAAATTTTAAAAAAAAAAATTTTTCGATTTTGATCTTAAAAATTTAAATAATTTAATAAATAAATGTGGTCCTAAATTACATAAAAGTCACGTGATGTAAAACGTGATGTGATTGGTGTGACGTCATTGTGCTGTTTGTAGCGCGAATATTTGAATGAGCAATAAGTCATGTATAATATTTTACGGTACTAAAAAAATTAAAATTAAGTTTTTTTCAATTTAAGTTTTACACATTATATTTTTTATGCCAGATTTTACTGAAAATAATTAAAAGTGAAACAAATTTATGTGAAATGTTTTTCTAATTTTGAAGTGAATGTGTTTGGAGGTTATGAACATGTCAATGTTGTTATAATACTAAGACTTTTGGGAAGCATCAGTTCAACAATTTAGTTAGTGAATATCAACAAGTCAAGAAAAATGCCTCGACGAAAAGTGGATCCTGGTTTTAGTGAAGCACGGTCTGATAATTTACCACGAGTTGATGCATTCATGGTCGCAACTTATCTCGCCACAAATTCTGATTTTGTATCAGCAGAAATGAAAGGAGCAAAAGCTAGCCTGTTTGTATATTTTAATACAGCTATTTATTTAGATATTAGTTAGAAATAAATTGATGATTTTTTATCAAAAAGTAAAAAAAGTATTTATTAGTTGTCACTACTATATTTATTTCACTATTTTAAATTAATATTTGTTTAATTATAGATCTGGGAGAAAGTCATATCGAGATGCAGCCATTGAATATGTACAAGTTAAGCTTCAGGGACCTGAATGTACTCTCAAATGTCTTATTTGTCCTGAACACAGAGTACAAAATAAATCATATAGAGTGACTGTAGTTTTAAATATTGTTGATGAAGAAATTTTATCGATTCAGTGTCATGATTGTGCCGCATCATTAGATAAATAAAATGATTTTACAATATTCAAGTAAGAAAATCATGACAGTTCTTGTTTGTTTCATAATTTTCTACTATTAAACTTCATACATAATACACACGTTACATAATAAGCTAAATTGAATATTTTGATAGTATTATGACCACTAATCACTTCTTTTTATACTGTTTTTTAGGTGGATGTAAGCACTCGATTGCATTTTTGATGTGGCTACACAGACGATCTGAAGAACCATCTCCAACTGATATTGAATGTTACTGGCGTAAATCAGTTTTATCTCAAGTTGGGTCAGCAATCAAATTTATTCGAGTGAATGATTTTGCTTCTGATACAAATACTACTGCTGTACCTAAGTCTTTTAATACATTACAAGAATTTGTCAATAGAACAAAACAAAAAAATGTACAGAGCCAAATCTTGAAGTATTTCAACTCTGAGAATACTGAAAAAAGTCTTTCAATACACAATTTATTAGTAGACTTTATTAATTTAGGAGGAACATCATGTGATGATTTCTTACAGTTTAGTGCAAATCGAATGTCTCTTGACTTGTGTGATAATCTAGAAAAAGAAACTCAAAATCAAGCAGATTGTGACCTTTGGTTTTCATTACGGTATGGGCGAATAACAGCATCAAAAGCTTATGAAGCATCTCGCTGTAATACACCTAATGGAACGTTAGTAGAGTTGCTTGTTGGAGGACAAAAACTACGTAATACAAAAGCTATGCAACGAGGTAAAGAGCTGGAAGCTATAGTTTTACAACAAGTTGAGCAGAAGTTGAAGCGTAAATTCCAAAAGTGTGGTTTACTCTTATCCAAAGAATACCCATACTTAGGAGCTTCTCCAGATGCAATAGATGATGAATTCGTGGTAGAAATTAAATGCCCGGCGTCAGAAAAAAGCTTTCGCACTTATATTGACACTGCAAATTATAATAAAATTTCAATGAAATATATTACTCAAATGCAGATGCAAATGCTTTTCACAGGAAGAAAAAAAGCAATGTTTATCGTAGCAGACCCAACTTTTGAAGAAACACGACAATTCAAATCTCTTATTATTGATTATGACTCACAACTAGTTGGAGAATTACTAAAAGATCTAAGTTGATTCTGGAAAAATTGTATTTTCAAACGTTTATTTAATTCATTGCAATAAATTAAGTTATTTATTAACAAAAATACAAAAATTGAAATCTTAAAATAAATATTACATTTTTATTGAACAACAACTGTTATAACTCATGTTTTTTTATCAACGGTCCCTGTTGATTAGTTAAAGCTACCGCGGTTGTCATTATATTATCCATCTGAGAAATAAGTTTAATATTTACACATGAATGAGGTTCACAAATTTCGAATTCTCGTATTCTTCTTATTAGTCTTTCAATGTGGATACGGAGACTGGCGATTCGTTTTTTTGCTATAACTTCGTCATGACTTGGTTGCTTTTCAGAACTTACTGTTGGTGGTCTAATTAATGTACATTTTTTTTCAACTACAAAATTTTCTATGTGTTTGAAGCTTCTATCAGCAAGTACAGCAGCGCCTGGTTTTAAACAATCCAAGTATCCAGATTAAGAAACTATTTCAGCATCCGATGTCCTACCACCAAATCCAGGTGAAATAAAATTAACTATGCCATCAGGTGTACACGACACTAAATATTTATAGTCGTCCCACCAAGAGAATGAACCTCGGGTTTGTTCGGGATTTATCCCCTCTTTTATATATTGATTCACTGCGCATGCGTTAACAACCCAGGACTCGGAACTTGTATTCCTCCGCGAGCGGTAAATTTAAATAAGTTTTAATATCGTATATACTGATTCTCAGATGGCGTTGGTATGAACTTATAACTAGTTGCGAGGGAATTATAAATAATTAAAAAAAAACATCTACACGCTATTAGTCCCTCGGCTAAAGAGAAAAGCACGTATGTCCTTCAAAGTCCCCCGGTTCTGATGTCAGATATTTACGTATTATTTGCCGTGGATTACGATAAACACAGATATTCGCTCGCCGATAATAAATTTGATTGTTATTAACAATTTAATTGTTTAGGCCACTAGAGCTCAGAACCGGCTGATTTGAAGAGAAAGTTTATTCAAGAAAAAATGTTTAAAAATAATTAAACCGGCGAAAAATGTTCTCATAAATTTTTCGATGAAATAAATATTCTCGGCGTAATAAAATAAAAAGCGATAGAGAGCGGTTGGACCTCTGTGTCGCATACACGCATTCTACGGATTCTATTGACAAACGACTGGCAAAAAAAAATACATAGACGAAAAAAAAATTAGAAGCTCGGCGTCCAGCAAAAAGTAAGAGATGAGATAACTGATTATTTTCAACTAATTGTACGGAATTTTCAAATTTAAAAATTTATGTCTCGGTGTCCACGAGAGATTAAAAAAAAATTAATATAATTGACCTTACAGAAAATTACCAGCCCTATAACCGATCGATAAACCCCATGGACACCTTAAAATAGCACTGTAAGAGGCGATTTTTTTTTAAATTTTACAGAAATTGGCCTTTTAAAAATTCAATTCTCGGTGTCTACTAGAGAATAAGAAAACAAAATCATGGGAATCATGAAACAGTCTAGGAAAGATTTTCAGACCCATAATTAACTGAATATTTGCCCCGGACTTTTCCATATTCTAATGTGTTTTTAATCGTATTTTTTATGTTTAAGATATATCGTAATGTGTAAACATTCAATTTGGTACAGGGTTAAAGGTAAATATTCAAGTTTCAATTTGTCATTAAAAAATCAATATTACACGTAAAGAATTTTTTTATTCCAATACTATTTACAGTTTTTTATAAATTCTTATATTTAATTTATGAATTGCCCATAAAGCAGTACTTTCATTATTCGTACCTGTTAGTAACAAAGATACTAAAGCTTTCGAATTTCCACATCTAAATAATCGAGCTTTTTGATCATTTTCATTCCAAAATGGATATTGGTTATTCTGATCTACTCCGTGCGAATTAAATAACCAAATCAAACCCTTTTTACATTTAAAAAATGCTACTGTTTTATCGTTGCCAATGAATAAAAAACCAGTATGGCTAATGTTTTCGTCAGCGCTTGTTAAACAATGTTTGTCAATAGTGTCCTGAAGTAATTGGTTATTTTTAAATTGGCCAAACATTATGTCATGTACATCGAAATTTACTATTCCGTTGCCAATGCTTAAATTTCGCAATAATTCTTCTACATTAAGTAGATCCGATTTAACTGTAGGCTGATTGCGGCACTCTTGATAATATAAATCTCCAAAAATCAACACTTTATCCAAATCTTCTGAAGTTATCGTTCGTACAGTTATCGCCGGTAACAAAATGCATGCAACAGTCGCTATAGCAGTGCATTGGACGCCTGCTCGCTGATGCTTAAAGTATTTTTTATCACCTTGGTGAAAATTAGCGGATTGGTGCAGGTAAACTTCCGGGATACTCGTTTTAATCTCGGTACTACGAGGAGTTACTGTCGATCTTCCATATACTGGAGTCTAAATAAATATTAATTTCAATTGAAAAATATTTTTAACGCTTATTCGAACGAAAACTGATTTTTTATATGTATATTTCGACCAGAAATTTTTACTTACAACTTTCTTTATAGGCTCGTCTTTCCGCTTTGCACATTCCTCTTCGGTTTTTAATTTTGACAAAATGTCATACAATATTTCGGCTCTGAACGGGCTCATGTTACATCCGTTTATGAGATTTAATGGCTCTCCTTTTGACAGTTGGCTTGCATAGTAGCAAATAAATACTCCGCAATCGTATGCATTGTTTTGCAATGCAATATCCTACAAAAAAATGTTTATAATATTTATTTAGGCGTTTAGAAAGTATTTATTCTTCAATCCATGAATTTCATTGTTTTATATTTCATTACATAATTATTGCAATCACATTACTGCTAAATAAAAATTGTTTTCAAATATAATTTTTCTATATTATTAAAATCTGTGTATTTAAAATAGAAATTTATACCTTTGCGTGTATTTTTTTCCATCTCTTTGGACCATCAGAAGTTGGTCGTACCATCTTAAATTCTTGTAATAAGTAGCCTTCAATTTTCTGTTCAGAACAAAATTATTCACAGTTATTTCTAAAATAGTTGATAATTGTTATTGATTACTTACCTGTAAACATTTGTCATTAGTACCCTTAAGGCTATCATAATATGTTATTGATACATTTGGAATATTGACAGCACACAGGCACCAATGGTTCCCAAGATGAATGGGAATGAAGAGAAACGTTTTTGTGAATATGTCAACCTACATTTATTTTAAGTTAGTGTTAAACGAATATATAAAAAAATAAATCAATATTAATCAAAGAAAACTTACGTTTTTAGTACGATTTTTTACCCTTTCAATTCCAATATTTAAAGAAGGATAAAAATATGTGTCAAAAACATATATTTCTGAATCTTTTCTTTCTTCAAGAATTTTGAAATAATAGTTTATGACCTATAATAATAATAATTTTATATATATTAAATAATCAATCAAAAGACAATATAGTTAATAACTATTAGTTATAGATGATAAACTTCCAGACTTACTTGATCATTCAGCCATTGCGGTGGTTTTAGCCTTTCTAAATCTTCCAACTTAATACGCATATTTATATCATGTTCATTGACCTTCTTGTTTTCCTTGTCAATCTGTTAAAAGAATATTATTATTGTTTGATTTTAACTCAAAGTCAATGTTTAACGTAATTTAGCTCAATACATCGAAAATTATACCTTATATTCTTCTAACATAGCCTCGATTGAATGATTCTGCAGCGATGATGAATTTAAGTTCTTGGTTTCGATATCGAGTGTTATTTGAGTGGTTTCATTCGCTCTTTCCAATATTTTATGAATTACATCATGTTCCTCGAAAACTATTGGGTTTGGACGAGGAATGGGTTCAATAAAATTTGCAATTGATCTTACTGCTCTACTTAAATCATCCTCCGTGACATTGATGGTTAATTCTCCGGTTAAACTGGAATCCTTTGATTGTCGACAAGTTAAATTATGTAAAATATTAAAAAAAACTTAAAGTTAAGGTGGATTCAAATTTTTTTTTAAGCAAAAATCTTAAATCGATAAAATAGTATAAAATGTTTTACCTTAGTTAACTGTTCAAGATTATCATCCACTTCATTCTCGTACTGTAATGAGTCAATTTCTACAAAACTACCTATCTCTCCTTGATGATAGTTTTCAAAAGGATTATTTTCTAGTGTAGTTGAAGACTCAAGTATGTAATCGCATTCATTATCAATGATATCATCATTATATACATCACCGATTTCTCCTGAAAATTTACTTTTCATTGGTTCATAATTATCAGTTTCATTTTTCTGTTCAACATCATCATCATCATCAAGTTCAGATACTGTTTGCATTTCTGAAAGGCTCTGAGAATCATTGTCATCATTCACTTCGGGATCATCGTCGATTGGAGCGAGATTATCAATTATTTCGATCGCACCTCCTTCAACAAAAAAACGTTGATAATCTTCTATTATCTTTTTTTCAGTGTGATTAACACACTCATTCCATACTTGCGGAGTTACTCTAGCCAGAGCTTCGTTCCACGTCTCCACTGCTTTTTTTTCGGAATAATCTCCACCGAATGCTAAGTGAGCATCGTAGTACCTTTTAGCGAGTCCCCATACATTTTCGATGGGATTGTAAAAATAGCAATAAGGAGCAGATCTTAAAATTGTATGCGGTGTACCCTCACACAGAGAATCTAATTCATATGCTGTCGGTTTTCTATAATAAACACATAACTCTAACAATTCTTTTTTCCTCAAATTTTCATCATATGGAATGCCTTCTTTATTTAACCACTCTTTAATCTCTGGCACATTCCAGTTGGTTGTTGGTTGTGCTTCCTCCTAATTAATAAAATGTATTTTATTATTTTTGTATTTTTTATCAAATCTACTTTCTATCATTTTGTTAGTTTTTAACTTAGTTATTTATTTCATCTAAAAATAGTTCAAGCTCCATTCGTGCAAATAATAAAATCAATCAAATAAATAACCCTAATTAAGAAATCTAATTTGAAAAGATTTAAAATAATTTAAAAGCATCTGATTATAATATTACATAAATAATCAACATAGAGGTTATCATTTCAAATTATCTTTCTAAATCAGGAAAGAATTTAATCATATAAATAAAAATATCATATAAGTACAGCTGTTAAATTTTTCCATTCCTAAACTTCCAATTACTTAGAATTAAACAAACCATAACAGATTTTGAAAAAATATATTAAATCCAGGATCTTTTAAAATATTAAAAAAAAAAAATCACATGCGGTATGAGTGTGTTAGATAAATTAGCTTATGCAGTATGATGTACATTGACTACATACACATGAATAATGGAAACGAACAAATCATCACAAGCGACAAACCAAAATTTAATTTTCGTTCCTCTCACCATTCTAGTTTGGTCATGTTTGTGAAGTTGTTGAATAGACTTTCCTTGGCTATTCCTTTTCATTCAAAGCTCCATTATTTCTTCAGATAATTTTTGTTCTCTGTCCATAACAATAGCTGACCGATTGATATTAGCATCATTCGGTCTATTTTAAATCTAATTTGTTTCAGATGCAATGTTAATCAAGTTTGGTCTGTCTGCATACACAATTATTGTATGTCGCTAGACTTTTCGTAGATTTGATTAACATTGCTCCTAAAATTTTCAAGTAGAATTAATGTATTAATAGATTTTAATTAATTATAAAATACCTTCGAAGAGTGGTAGGACGCATTGTCCATCACAATTATCGACGGTTCTTTCAAATTTGGCAACAGTTTCGTTTTAAACCATTCTTTGAAAGTTTGGGCATTCATTGCTCCGTGATAATCGTCCAAAGGATTAATCTTTTTTGAAGAATTAACGAACAATCCGGCGCCATCTACGAATCCATTTCTGCCCCCTGCATGGCAAACAATGTATCTTGGACCGCTAGACGCTTTCTTTACAGAAACACTACGAGGGCTGGAGTCCTGCCATTCTCGAGTCTTTCCTGTCCCATAGCGAAACACCCATGTTTCATCTAGGAATATGAAAGGTCGACCGTCTTCGGCAGGATCAACCAACTTCTCAGAATCATTATTTTTGGCAGGATCAACCGACATCTCAGGGTCATTATTTTTGGCAGGATCGACCGACATCTCAGGGTCAGTGTCATTGGTAGAATCAACCAACTTCTCAGAATCTGTGGCTTTAGCAGGATCAACCAACTCCACAGAATTAGGGTCATTGGTCGAATCAACCAACTTCTCTGAATCCGTGGCTTTAGCAGGATCAACCAACTCCACAGAATTAGTGTCCTTAAGTTTGAGAGCATCCATATTTTTCTTATATTTACCTAGGAATTCGATACGAGCAGCTATTACATATGGCTGCTCGACCAGATATCGATTATTATTACGTTTTACGTGCGTGAAGCCGATATCCTTAAGAACTTTTCTTAAAGTTTCACTTCCTCCATAAAACGAAATATTATTTTTTCTGAAATCAATGACAAGATCTTATTATGAAAAACTCAACACAAAATATTTGTTCAATAAAAATTTAATTACCTTACTTCAGTTAATAGTTGAGTGCATGTAATATGACGTCCTATGAAAATACGTAAAGAATTATACACAAAGTTTGTATTATATTACATCTTAATTACCAACTAGCTACTTACGTTCATCACAGAACTTGTAAATGAGCTGCCGAATTTGCTCTTTTACTTCGTTAGAAACATGGCGCTTCGGCGATACCCTTTTCCTTGTTTTTCCCGGTCTTTCAAATGGTTCACCGGAAAATCCGCGCTTTACATACTTGCTCACGGTTACTTCAGAGCATTGAAGAGCTGCTGCAGTCCTTTTTCTGGAGTGAAAAAATTTTTCAGTTTATTGATTGTTTACAATATGGACTCTTTCATTAGCAAATTGTAAAGTTAAGCAATTACAGGGTTTTACTATTATAAACAGTGTTTATAATAATAAAACCCTGTAATTGTTTATTAAACACTATATATAGATAAATACATTTGTGGACAGAGGATGTGCCTTCGGATAATTACAAACATAATAAAAAATTCGAATTATCTTACGACATTCAATATTAAAGAGAGCATCCAAAATTAGTATATTACGCATCTAGGAAATAAAGTGAGACTTTCCAACCTTCGTAATCTTGTCGCCCGATCTGTAGGCGACATAATATGCATGTGATCGGAGATATTTCTTATTTTACTGCGCTACATCCGTGATATACTATTTTTTGAACAATAATCCACTCTTTTTTCTTAGTTCCAAAATTCTTAAAGTTGTTTTTGAAAAATTCTAATATATTTTTTAGAAAATTCTTTCTCCAATGCAACTAACAGTTTCTACTTTTTCTCTAAGTGAAAATGATCTTCATAATGATGAATATTCACAAAATTTTTGGATTGCTGTTCAGCACCGATAGAATAATAAAAAAAAAAATTGGTCATACCTGAAACAATAAAGTACCTTGAGAAATGGTATTTATTTACAAATAAATTGATATTTGATAATTATTGCATTCATAAGTGTTTTGAGTTTTGAGAGGTATCATTAATCTTTCTTAAAACCAAATCTATTTACTGTTGAAAATTTTTATTTGTATTATTTGTAATATTGAAATCTACAGATTCGGTAGAATCTGGTGCCAAGTTCCGTTCAAAAATCCCGTTGCAAACGGAGCGCCAGACTACCGAATGTATTTACATCTACAGATTCGGTAGAATCTGGTGCCAAGTTCCGTTCAAAAATCCCGTTGCAAACGGAGCGCCAGACTACCGAATGTATTTACAGTAAGCAGAACAGTTTTTTGAGGTTGTATAATTTTATTTAATTATAACGTACTTTTTTTCACTAATTTGTATATTATAACAGAGGGTCATAATTAATTTTATCGTATTAATTCATTTATATTCACTTATTACAATTTATTTACTTGAAATTATTAAATTTTATCAGCACATACTATAGCGCGCTCACATTTTTCGATCCTGACTTTTTTTCGATGGGTAAAAGTCAGCGCCACAGACTAGATAAAATAAAAATGTGTAGTATTCCTCCTATAGATACGCAACTACAGTTAAAAAAAGTATTCACAGCTTCCATTTACGGCCGCCAGGGTGCACTGTAATTATATCTACATAAACTGTAGTTTCAAGGGGATAGTTTGTGCCGCAGACTAGATATCTAGGGGCGAACCACGAGTTAACTATGTGATGCTTTGGATTGCGTCCAGCAGGTGACACTACTTGTCGCGAAGCGCGAATTCAAACATTTTTTCCGGGTTAATACTGTAATTCTAGTTTTACACGCCTTACAGAAATAGTAGAGAAAAAATTAAACTATTATTGTTAAGAAAAAATAAAATTATTGTAAGAAACCAAAAAAAAATTGATACAACCTATAAAAAACCGAGTATGTATTTACCGTAAGCAGAACGGTATTTTGAGGCTGTAAATTTTTTTTCCAATTTATTTGGATTTCTTATTTATATGATGTTTTATATAATGGTAATAATAGTAAATACTTTTTATCAAACGTATTAATAAATTACTGCAGTTAATATGCAACCACCGAGATTTATGAATTATGAATAAAAAACTTTAGCTGAATGATTTTTTTTATATTTGAAATCACACTGGACATAAAGTTGGGTACTTTATAAATAAAATATTAATTATTACAGTGCTATCACTAGATTAATTACAAATAATTCGATGGACAAATGTGACCGACCAAATTTATCGAATTAGAAAACTATTAAACACTCTTCCGAAAATTTGACATAAAAAATTTACCGTAAAAAATTGTAAAACCAAAAGTCATTCATTCTTATCAAGACCTTTATGATAATACCAAACGAAACCATAAATATTCTATTAAAAGAAATAATATGCTTGTCACAAAAATTTCCTTTCTCTCTTAATTGTTTAAGTCATAAATAACTATCGCTAGAAAATATATACATTTACAATATATACATTTACATACATAAAACACAGTAGGAGGAAACCAAATAACCAAATGATAGCTTTCCCGAGAAAAAATGTTTCTATATAATCATATATAATTGTATATGATCATATATGATTATATATGGAATCACATATATAATTATATAGAATTATATATAATCATATATAATTATATAGAATTATATATAATCATATATAATTATATAGAATTATATATAATCATATATAATTATATAGAATTATATATAATCATATATAATTATATAGAATTATATATAATCATATATAATTATATAGAATTATATATAATCATATATAATTATATAGAATTATATATAATCATATATAATTATATAGAATTATATATAATCATATATAATTATATAGAATTATATATAATCATATATAATTATATAGAATTATATATAATCATATATAATTATATAGAATTATATATAATCATATATAATTATATAGAATTATATATAATCATATATAATTATATAGAATTATATATAATCATATATAATTATATAGAATTATATATAATCATATATAATTATATAGAATTATATATAATCATATATAATTATATAGAATTATATATAATCATATATAATTATATAGAATTATATATAATCATATATAATTATATAGAATTATATATAATCATATATAATTATATAGAATTATATATAATCATATATAATTATATAGAATTATATATAATCATATATAATTATATAGAATTATATATAATCATATATAATTATATAGAATTATATATAATCATATATAATTATATAGAATTATATATAATCATATATAATTATATAGAATTATATATAATCATATATAATTATATAGAATTATATATAATCATATATAATTATATAGAATTATATATAATCATATATAATTATATAGAATTATATATAATCATATATAATTATATAGAATTATATATAATCATATATAATTATATAGAATTATATATAATCATATATAATTATATAGAATTATATATAATCATATATAATTATATAGAATTATATATAATCATATATAATTATATAGAATTATATATAATCATATATAATTATATAGAATTATATATAATCATATATAATTATATAGAATTATATATAATCATATATAATTATATAGAATTATATATAATCATATATAATTATATAGAATTATATATAATCATATATAATTATATAGAATTATATATAATCATATATAATTATATAGAATTATATATAATCATATATAATTATATAGAATTATATATAATCATATATAATTATATAGAATTATATATAATCATATATAATTATATAGAATTATATATAATCATATATAATTATATAGAATTATATATAATCATATATAATTATATAGAATTATATATAATCATATATAATTATATAGAATTATATATAATCATATATAATTATATAGAATTATATATAATCATATATAATTATATAGAATTATATATAATCATATATAATTATATAGAATTATATATAATCATATATAATTATATAGAATTATATATAATCATATATAATTATATAGAATTATATATAATCATATATAATTATATAGAATTATATATAATCATATATAATTATATAGAATTATATATAATCATATATAATTATATAGAATTATATATAATCATATATAATTATATAGAATTATATATAATCATATATAATTATATAGAATTATATATAATCATATATAATTATATAGAATTATATATAATCATATATAATTATATAGAATTATATATAATCATATATAATTATATAGAATTATATATAATCATATATAATTATATAGAATTATATATAATCATATATAATTATATAGAATTATATATAATCATATATAATTATATAGAATTATATATAATCATATATAATTATATAGAATTATATATAATCATATATAATTATATAGAATTATATATAATCATATATAATTATATAGAATTATATATAATCATATATAATTATATAGAATTATATATAATCATATATAATTATATAGAATTATATATAATCATATATAATTATATAGAATTATATATAATCATATATAATTATATAGAATTATATATAATCATATATAATTATATAGAATTATATATAATCATATATAATTATATAGAATTATATATAATCATATATAATTATATAGAATTATATATAATCATATATAATTATATAGAATTATATATAATCATATATAATTATATAGAATTATATATAATCATATATAATTATATAGAATTATATATAATCATATATAATTATATAGAATTATATATAATCATATATAATTATATAGAATTATATATAATCATATATAATTATATAGAATTATATATAATCATATATAATTATATAGAATTATATATAATCATATATAATTATATAGAATTATATATAATCATATATAATTATATAGAATTATATATAATCATATATAATTATATAGAATTATATATAATCATATATAATTATATAGAATTATATATAATCATATATAATTATATAGAATTATATATAATCATATATAATTATATAGAATTATATATAATCATATATAATTATATAGAATTATATATAATCATATATAATTATATAGAATTATATATAATCATATATAATTATATAGAATTATATATAATCATATATAATTATATAGAATTATATATAATCATATATAATTATATAGAATTATATATAATCATATATAATTATATAGAATTATATATAATCATATATAATTATATAGAATTATATATAATCATATATAATTATATAGAATTATATATAATCATATATAATTATATAGAATTATATATAATCATATATAATTATATAGAATTATATATAATCATATATAATTATATAGAATTATATATAATCATATATAATTATATAGAATTATATATAATCATATATAATTATATAGAATTATATATAATCATATATAATTATATAGAATTATATATAATCATATATAATTATATAGAATTATATATAATCATATATAATTATATAGAATTATATATAATCATATATAATTATATAGAATTATATATAATCATATATAATTATATAGAATTATATATAATCATATATAATTATATAGAATTATATATAATCATATATAATTATATAGAA